AGTCATCCAGTTGGTCTCAAAAATTTACAAACCAAATGGAACCAGGCTGAGTTATTAAGACTAAGCGGTTGAACTTATACGTTGCGAACAACCAAAATAAATGGATCTTTACTTTGTTAATGCATTGAAATCGTAAGTCCAACAACCCCATACCAAATGAGGGTTTTATCACTGATTATCAAGGAGGAACATTCTCATGGATAAAAGAGCACCAATCCCACTGGAGAAAGCTAACTAATGAACCAGAAATCCACTTTTGGCTGAAGCATCACATTTTCCTCGGATTTAAATCCCTCACACCCCTAGTAAACTTGAAAAATTTGCTCGAAACAAATTCATTATAAATTTTTAGTGCACCTTGAGTTTGGGTTTCTTTGTTTGTGTTGATACTATCTAAATTGAGGGCAGGGAGGATCATTCCTATCACCCAAGCTCATGTAGAAGCCCAAATCTTGACAAAAGCGCCAAAAATAGGTCAAAGTAGAAAATTGAAAAATGTGTTTTTGATTTTTCTGGCTTATATGGAATTGTTGGTGCTAGGGACTATATAGTAATTGTTTATTAGAGTAAAAGAAGTAAAATGAGACGTACCAGGGTCAAATCTAAGGTGGAGTATTTTGGGTATGAGAGTTTCGATGAATTCGACAAAATTGCTCAAGTAGGCCAAACCAAGCAACGTACAAAACTTGGCCTACCACCATTTTTCTTCTTTTTTTATGACTAGAAAGAAGAAATATAAGCCAGAACTAAGCGAACAACTTTTACCATGAAAAAATCAGAAAGCGACATTTTTCCGCTAAATTAGTCAAATTTAGAAAAATGCAAATATCTCAGGTTCTATTTGAGCTAGTCAACTTTCTTTTTAGGGTTGATAGGTCCTAGTGGTACCTATTGAACCCAAAAAGTTTGAACCGAATCCGTGACCCAATCCCAGATCTCGGTCCACCTTGAGGTGGAGTTACTCTATACGCCTTAGGCGCATGCCACAGAAATGGAACTGCCTTAAGGCGCCTTGAAACTAGACGCCCAAGGCGTATACCCCATTGAGCACCTTTTGCAGATAGAAGTTAGCATGTGAACACCATTGGTCGAAGGAAAGGTGCGTGCATTGTACACACCCTGGATCATAGGCACTGAGCTCAACAGGACTCAAGGTGCGTTGAATGCAAACACCGCCCTTGGCCGAGGCCATGCCTACCGAGGCCTTAAAGGGTGTTTACATTCAACGCACCTTGAGTCCTGTTGAGCTCAGTGCCTATGATCCAGGGTGTGTACAATGCACGCACCTTTCCTTCGACCAATGGTGCTCACATGCTAACTTCTAGGTGCTCAATGGGGTATACGCCTTTGGCGTGTAGAATCAAGGCGCCTTAAGGCAGTTCCATTTCTGTGGCATACGCCTAAGGCGTATAGTTTCTAGACACCCTGGATTTGGAGTGTATAGGCTGCACTTCCGTTGCCAATACGCCATTGCTATAGCATGCCTACGGACGTACTCTAGCCTAGGTTCCCCTACAACAAAGTCACTAAAATTAGCCCAATTATTGAAAATAAACCTACAAACTAGTGCACGTAGCGCGTGCGTCGCGTTGAGTGACCGAAAAAGCGCAAAGCTGAGAGACCCGTACAGGCAGTTTCCGTCCTCCGGAATCTGAATCCTAATCCAACCTGTCGTGTCGTCTGTCGCAGCCACTGCGCCTATAGCGACGCGCCCTTCGGCCCTCCTCCTGCCAAAGAAGTTACAAAGCCGCGTTCGGGCCCGGCCCCTGCTGCTGCTCTGGGCCGTGGCCCTGCTCGGCTAAAAAAGCTGCCTTTCTGCGGCAGTCCCGGGCAATGTGCCCTGGGTAGTGGCAGAAGTAGCAGCGCCGCGGCTCGCGCTGTTGTGGCATGCCCTGCATAGACCTCTTTGCCGTTCCCACGCTCCCCCCTCCCTCGACCGTCGTTGCCTAGCAACGCGAGCCAAACAAACCGCCGCCATGTTGGATTAGCAGACGCGCTACGGACGCGAGGCGTGGGCTAGGCCGGCGGGCTCTGCCCGAAGAGATCTTGTGTATTTGCAAACTTGGTTCAATATTAGTACGTATCAGGCACATTATTTAAAAGTTGTGATATCCAAATTTTCATTTCTTTCGGACGGTGCGAGCCGTTTTTATTCGTATAATTGAGTCTAAATGCACCTTTGATTTGCAGGTTATGACTTCTCGCAAAACTGTAATTCAGTTTTTTAAAATAAACGATTTCTTCAGAAATTTCGAGAATTTACCTGCAGAATTGCAGAATGAACCTCCAAACAATAATTACCTTGATGATGAAGAGAGAAATAAAAGAACAAAACGCTTGAAATCAGATGTGCACAAACAATGCAAAAGGGGGGGAAAAAGCTTTTGAGGCTGGCCATTTTAAAAAACTTCATATATGACCCTTTCCTTGAGTGTCATTAAAGGAAGTGTGAGGGCTTCTATGAGGGAGCATGTTTAAAAACCCAACTGTAAGTTTTCCCTTTTGCACAATCCTGTTGTAATGCAGTGAGTTCGTTTATTGAGATATCTTTGTTTCTAGGCTTTTCTCAATGAAGATTTCACCTTTAAAAGATGCAAACTGTGATTGTGTTCGTGGCACAGCTTGCCATCATATTGCTGCTCTTCTCATCGGGCCCACTACAACATAAGTGTCACGGACATTGAGTGCACTTGGAAGGCAAAGCCCAGTGCTGACAGGAATGACGGTGTGTCATTCAATGAGATTTTCCCTCGAAAACCCCTTTTCTGCCATGAATGAACCAAGTGAATCTGAAGTGAAACGTATCTGTGATAATATTGAGACTTGTGGAAGGGGCTGTGCTGGGATTGCATGGATTATGCAAAGTGAACCAGAGGCCCGCTGTGAAAATGAAGATAAACCAACTTGTCCACCAATCCCCAACATACTTCTCTACAAATCAAAGAGTGTACATGGTACGCTCTAACTGGAGCATGCCTGCAAGCACGCTCTAGCTAGCGCATGCCTGCCAAGCATGCACTAACTAGTGCATACATGCCATGTACACGCTTCCTGATGCAGAAAACTCCCTATCCCTTATGCAGTAAATGTATGCTTCAGTTAGCGTGTACATGTATGCACTAGTTAGTGCATGTTTGGCAGGCATGCGCTAGTTAGAGCGTGCTTGCAGGCATGCTCCAGTTAGAGCGTACCATGTACACTCTTTGATTTGTAGAGTTGACATTGTATCGAGTTCTCAATTTTTGACTCAGACTGACAAGTTCGAATACCTGCTGTCCAAGACATACATGCAGCCCAGTGACATTGTTGCAATTGCTCATGCCACTGTTGGGCAGATAAGTAACCCACTATGGTGTGAGGGAAGGCAGTGCAGATTCAGCGGCAGTGTTCTTGGCTCAATCATTCAGGCTGCAACAAAAAAACGCAAACTAGCACCCTCTCTCATACGCTCTGTTTCAACTCAGGCTATGCTGCGGCCAGAAGTAGTGAAAAAAGTAGGAAAAAAGGGCAAGTACACTAAAAATTTGAATCCTCGTCAGTGGGGCTTGACCATGAAGAAGATGAAAAATTTAAAATTCACAGAGACAATGAATTTGACCGTTCAGGAAACTGGTTTGTGGATTCATGAGAGTGGTATATGGTGTGCAAGCCCTGATGGTTTGGTCGGTGACAATGCAGTGCTAGAAATAAAGTGTCCCTTCCAGTTCAGAGCAGCTGAGAGTCTGAAAGTTTGCCTGGATCAAGATATTTTTTATGAAACAGCACCCAGCAAACGCTATGGCATTTATTATGACAAGGATCTGGATGAGTATTCTATGTGGAAAGAACATGAATATTACCACCAAATTCAGAGTGAAATGTGGTGTTCTGTTAGAGAACTCTGCTATTTGTTGTCTGGGTTCCCAAAGATGTTGCAATTGTACGAGTGGAGCGTGATGATGAGGGGTTTTGAGGAAAATGCCCCCAAAACCCAAAACTGTTTACAAAGGACAGTTCCTCCCAGAAATAACAAAAATTAAGAAGAAAATTTGTACTAGTCAGAGTATGACTTTAATTTAAAACTGTTTATGTTTGTAGCTAATGTGATATCAATGCTATTTTATTTTTAAGACTATAATTGTGTAATGGTACAAATGATGTTGTGAATTTAAGTGCAGTTCTAGTCTCATTGCAATGAGAACTGTGATATACTGTGCAAGACTGTTAATTTTTCTAAAAATTTTGTTTTGTAAATATTTATGTAATGGAAGGGAAATGAAAACTGCAGTTCTAGTCTTGAGTAAAGTAGACTGTAATGTTCAGTGTAAGAGTTAAAGTTGTAACGCCATTGAAGCCAGTATTAGGAATGAAAAATTTAAAAGAAATAAAAGCAATGGTATATTTAATTTTGTTACATTTCTCTTTATAACTAAAGTTTTTTATGAAACAAGATTAAAAAAAATCTTTCTAATTCCATAGTCTCTTTTCATCCTCTACCTCATTTATCAATGGGGTCTTTAAATTTGTCAAAAAACAGCAGGTTTGAAATATTTCTGTAGAATATTCAAACATATTTACAGGGATACACTCTAAAATTAGATATTCCTTAATTCTAGCATTGGCCCTTTCCACATGGATTCTCGCCCTGGCAATGCTTGATGTGGCTCGTACTTGAGCAGCAGTAAATTGTGCTGTTCGCTTAAATGGTGGAATATTAAGAGAGACACCAGGGGGAAGCATATCATGAATTAAAAAACCCTTGTCAGCAAGGATAAGATCACCTGGTTCCAAAATATTCAGTAAACCACACTCACCAACAATAGTCTTGTCTGAGTTACTGCCAGGATACAGATCTGATACATAAGTTACAGTTCCATTAGGTGCGACTCCAACTAAAGCTTTGGCTGTGCTAAACCCTTTGTAACTACTATGCACAAAATTTTTGTGTCTCATTGAGTCAGGTATTTGTACTCTGATTTCAGTGCAATCAATAACAATTCTACAGTTAGGATAGGGAGCAAAACATTCTGGGAGAGACAATCTATTTTTGTGTCTTGAAGGAACAGTCTTCATCAAATTTTAAACAAAACTGTATGCAAGGCGTTCACCCCTGTTCTAAAGATATTTGTCACCGTTGTTTCACTTACTTTAAACCAATCAGCCAAAACACTATGAGTAAAATTATGCCTCAACTTCATTAGTGTGAGAAGCAATTGATTTTCTTTGCTCAAAGAAATCACAGACTTATTGCCATGGTAGTAGTTAAATGGCTGGGGAAAACAATTCAGTAACCAATTAAAAGTTTCCTTGTTAGGTAGTCCTGTATACTGGCATATCTTGCGGTCACTCTCTGATATACACTGGTAAAGCAATCTTGTCTTTTCTGCCTCTAAGTCAGCCTTCAATTGAGCTTGAACATCCTCAGCTACACAAATCCTTTGATACAGAAGAGAAATAATACGACGAGCCTCCTCCAAATCTGCTTGCAATTTTAAAACCTCATCGTTGCTCCTGTGTAAAAAAATCACATAAATAAGTGAAAGAATAAAAAAAAAAGGGCCGTTAAAAAAAATTTGAACTACCTTGAGAGTCAACATTTCAATATATTATAATAAAGAATAAACTTCAGGCTAAAATATCAATTTGTACCTGTCCTGCACTGGAGAGGGAGGAGGTGCTGGAGTAACCAGTGGGTACAGAGGAGGGGGCGATTCCACTCTTGCAGCTTCCGTTGTAGGAGGCGTTTCAACTATTGCTCCTGGAGTAGCAGGTGACAAGAGAAAGCAGCCACTCAATTCACTGGAGTCAAGTTCCTCTGCTAGGATGACAGGTGTGTGTTCATTTATTTCAAATGACAGCCGCATCTTCTTTGATGGGCTGGTGAATGGAGATGGGATAGACTGCGGATCATCCGCATCAGTAACTTCAAAGAGGTCTAAGGCCCTTTTCACCTTCCTGTCAATTCACAAAAAAAAATATATAAAAGAAATTCAAACCCAATAGATGAGCACAGGCTTGACTCCATTGTGCACTCACTTTGTTTTGATTTTAGGAGAAACCCACAGATGTTTGAACTCCGCCTTTTGCTGTCTCTTAAAAATAGTAGGTCCTTCGTTCTTGTTTCCATTTTTTAAAAAGGCAGCTGCAAATTCGAGCAAATTTTGGAGGGCTCTCCTTGTTCCTGAAATAAAAATAATTGGTACAATTTGAACACACAGACAGAAAAACCCCCAGAATTATTCAATGCAGCCCAGGTTGACAGAGAGACATGTTGATAACACTCACCCAATATTCAATTTCCACAAACTCCTTCTTCGCTTTAATGGGGTATTGGGGATTGTGAAGAAACTGCAACTGTCTCTTGTCTTGTGGTGGTTGCAATCTCCCACCCAACATTTCATAATGAAGTCCTTCTTAACCTATACGGACATACCAGTTACCACAAGAAGTCAACGACAACTAACAAAAAACGGCTCGCACCGTCCGAAAGAAATGAAAATTTGGATATCACAACTTTCAAATAATGTGCTGGATACGTACTGCTATTGAACCAAGTTTCCAAATACACAAGATTTCTTTGAGCAAAGCCCACCGGCCTAGCCTAGCCTAGCCCACGCCTCGCGTCCGTAGCGCGTCTGCTAATCCAACATGGCGGCGGTTTGTTTGGCTCGCGTTGCTAGGCAACGACGGTCGAGGGAGGGGGGAGCGTGGGAACGGCAAAGAGGTCTATGGGTGATTCCGTGCGTAGAGGGTCATTTTGGATGTACCAAATGTTCTTTTTTAAAGTTCAACTTTAGGGGCTAAATTAGGTGTAGATGGCATACATACTACCCCACAGTACTCCTCTGAGCGTGGCAGCGCTACAAGTTGACTTTTAACTTTACCCCCTATGAATTACGGCGGAATTTACAGAAATAATGACGGAATTTACAGATTACGGAATTTACAAAGCGAAGTGTTTAGTCTCCTGACCCGCTGGGTTACAATATAGGGAAAAACTGTTGACGGTGTCATTTTGAGCATTCCAAATAGCGTTTTTCAGCGCAGGTTGTGGGAACTTTCTCCCTCAGATGGAGGAGCTACGGCCCGAAACGGAATTTACATCTATTTTTACACCCTTACCGTTTTGAACAATTCTGACGGCCTGGAAGCGTCGTTTGACCGCCCCAGGTCCCGTGGGCACGGGCTTCTGAAAGCGTTTTTTATGTTCTTTCGATCCCAAGTGGTCGCGAGGTTCTAAAACGGAAAGGAACCCCAGTAGACCGTCAGTTGTGAAAGCAGCACAGGTCACATGGTCACACGGTGGACATTTTCCCATAGGCTGTTTCGGGTTCAACAAGTGATGATACAAAGGTCACCTTCCGTAATTTTGCGAAGAATAAGTCAGGGAAGAGAGTGAAATAGCCAGTTTTCTTTTGATGTGGCTGAGTCATATACTACAGCATGGCAATGTTGTCTTATAGGTGTTGGTGACCATGACGGAACTTACAAAACGACACTTTAGCAGCTTACGAAACCTAGAAAAACAAAAGTTAGATTGATTTATCCACATGAGGACATGGTCTTCGTTTAGTAAAACAAATTTGATTATCCCAAGCTACCAAATCAACCTCAGTTCAGGCGCATGGCCCCGGTGACCTGAAATGACCCCCTACGCACGGAATCACCCCTATGCCGGCAGGCTGCAGGTTGAACACAGCGTGGCCCTGGGCCGCACGGTAAAAACTTTGTCGTGTTTAACAAGGACCGGTCACCTCAGCGAAGGGTCTTAGCCCCCGGTCCTTAGCGAGACCTCTCTGGCTGGGATGACAAGCGTCAGGTCCCCCGCATTGAGCAAAATATTTTTAGATTAAAGAATTCTTCCCAGCTCCATTTCACTAATTGCCAAACGATCGAGCACGTTCGCCTGACAGCTGTGGTACACTGATTTCATGGCCAAGAGGTGGCTTTGAAGCATTTCTATAACAGTTTGTAGTAGCATGGTCATTACAGTTTAATGGAAAATGATATCAGCATCGTTGGCTGCATCGTTGATTGATGTCGCCAGGACATGGTATGCTTTTGAGTTCTCAGACATCATTGCCTGCATTGACTGAGAAAGACCCTGAATTTGAACAGCGTGTACATTTGTTACCGAGATTAGGTCTTGAGTTTTATTTCTTATGGCACTAACATCATTTCCCAAAACATTCATACAGTCAATCATTACAATCAGCTGGTCCTCTGTAACTGTACCTTCTATATAGTTTCTAAGTTTACCAAGGATTGGAAGCAATGCCCTCCTATGCCTGGTTGCAACTGGCCCTAATTTAGAGAATATTTGCGAAAGTTCGCGGACAATATTCTCACTAGTCTTCTGTAAGTTTTCTATCACCAAACATACATCCTGTTTGCGTTTTACATCTGTACAGGACACTTTATCTTAGTTGTTCATCACTGTCATGGTTTGCTGTCATCTTTATTTCTATGAGGTCTGTTGCAACTAGGAGGTGTGGCAGTGCTTTCACTTGGAGTCCTTACTTCTTTGTTGCTATAATAACCCATGTGCGGCCAGACGGCCACACAAAGTACTAACCACCACCAATGCCACACCTAAATTTTTTTCTTAGATAAAATCTCAATTAATGATTGTATCATAGCACAAAATAGCTTATCGTTAATAATAATTTTTTTTTTTTGAAAATGGATAAATCTAAGCTTTAGCAGTCGTAGAAAATTCACAAATGGTACATATAGATTTTAACTGGTGTGTTTCTAAAAATATTTTCTAACATATTCAATGTTAAGGGAAGCGGAATATTGTCTAGCCCTGCCGCAATTTCCGGCATGGCAATTTCTGTTAGATTATTAAATTCCATGAACTTTCTCAGCGCAAGCAATGATAGTTCTAGATCTTTAACAGTTGGCTTATGGAAGCAGCGATCTTTTGTTATTAAATTTACTATAAATCTGGTGTCTTGCGACGGCACTACCTATTACTCTTTGTGTAAGGAGTATTTCATATCTGACGTCAAATAAATTTTGAAATTTTACTGCTTAATTCTACTGTCGAGCATGTCTTTAAATTTCTTCGTAAGACGTGCCTCAGTCTCCTGACTGCTGGCACTGTACCCCTTTTTAATAATTGCCCTGTTTTCCAAAGCTTCCCTCAACCTGTTTGTAAAATCCACCAATTTTGTACAGCCAGAGCTCATAACCAGCTCGGCGTCTTTCGCAGGCATGATTTCCAGGAGGATTTTAATTACTTCCTCCTCTGTGACTCTATCCTGAAGTGCGGCCATTGCCTGTGCCCTAATTACGAAATCTAGTGTTGTCTCTGTTGGCTTTTTTCTCAAACTGAGCATCCTAGCTCGGACTGAGGACCCTGTGTTTTTTGCCAAAAAATAATTCGCTATGAGCTCTTTGTAGTCCTCCCACTCTCTGTTAGCGCTAATTGATTCGTGTATTGCCTGCAGGTGTGTAGGCAGGAATTGCCCAATGTACTCGGGCACATCTTTTGCCCTGATGCCGTGCTTAGCGTACACGGCTGCCACATGATCAAGCCAGGCCATTGGATTATCCTTAACAAACTGTCTGACTGTAGGTTGCAGTGAAACTGGAAGACCTTTTGCTGCCATTTTTGAAGATAACTCTGCTTGTGCAATGTAATCTAGGTATTTTCGTGTACCGTTAATAAAGATCTGTAAGATTTCAGCAAAGTATTTTTGGAAGTTGTTCTGTTGGGTTTTCAGTCATGAACTCTATTATATCAAGATTTAATTTATATTAAGTGCCTTTGTTTGCGGCGGTTGCGGCTTGCCTCAGGGGCGAGATAGGCCACCAGTCGGACACGCATGTGTTGCGATACGACTTGGCATACCTGGCAGGCGCTAAAAGGGCACGCTAGGGAACATCAGACAGCGCACAAGGCCAGCGTCACTGGAACTCACCGCCCAATGCCTCAGAATAAAATGCACAGCAAAATCACACAAATTTTAGGCTGAAAAAAATGCCTAACTTTGAAGTAGAATATCTCCGGAACGGTTTGTCGAAAAAATCTGGGATTGTGATTTCTGGATTCAGCGGACCTTTCTCCGTCTTTCTCCGTAAAATAAGACCAGTTTCAAAAAGATCGAATAACTTTCACGGCAAAATCCCAGGATTTGGGACCTTTTATGTATATTTTTTTCGAGAAAAAGTGAGTTTTCCCAATGAAAAAATTATACCGGATCAAATCTGACAGCACGATCGTGTTTCCCGTTTAATTTCCAAGCTAGAACCTGAATCTGAAACCAATCGAACAAAAAGTCCCTGAGATATAAGAAATACCCTAAATTAGTGCAAAAATACCCAAAAAATTTAAAATACCCATATCTCCCAGAGGAAATTTTTTTGAGGTCTGAAATTTTGGCTATGAACTCCCACCATGGGAGACTACTAACCACCAGAAAATCAGTGAAATCCAAGGGGGTCGTTGGCCCTGCTTTTTTAAAAATAAACCTTAAACCTTGACGTTAGTTGAGTTTAAGTAACTATGGACGATGCGCGTTGCATACCTCCGCGGCGCATACTCAACGCAGTCCAGTTATTCGCCAGAAAAGTATGACGGCCGAATTGGCTCTTAGAATAGTGTCAGCACTGAAAATTGAGTGGCGAGACTGATGGCCAAAATTTGGTGAGACAAAAAAGTCTCGCCATTTTTTCGCGAGAAACAAAAGTCTCACCATTTTTGTTGGCGAGAAACAAAAGTCTCACCATTTCTTGGCGAGAAACAAATGTCTCGCCAAAATATGGCAATAATTGCAGCCCCACTCTATTTGATACTGGGAAATATATCCCAGTCAAGATCACTCCGGTAAACACAACACTAACTGCAGTCTTTCAATTACTCAAGTCGAAAATAATACAGGAAGCTATCACTTTCAGTTAAATATTAATGTAAGGTTATATGATGTGAATTTGGTTTGCGTCAGCAAAGCGTTGCCCAACTATTTACTCTTTTTGTCATCGTTTAAAAAGACATTGGTCCAGTGAGTCAGATCCTAAAGGGTCTCTTTCAGTGTCCATGCAGTTAAAAATAATGTATTTAATAAGAGGCCTAAACAAAGCGACATCCATGATGACACAAGTTCTTACTCACTCCTTTGACTTATTCCAATCCCCAGCTAACCTTGCTGCACTTGTGCATTGTTGGAAGTTCCATGGACAGAACTCGGTTAATAACCTCGAGGTAAGAAAGTTCCGTGCACTATCTAGCACTCCGTTTCGCCGTCTCCACTGGACAAAACGCCAAAACACAGCAGCACCACTTTAAATCGCCAACACAGATATAATAAAGAAAACATTTTAGTGAACAGACAAGCAACACAGCAACAGGGCTGCCATGTTGAAATTAATTTGTTGTCCTCATTGTGTCGTCTGCTACAGTAGCATTTGTTTTGCGGTAGTGCCAACCTATACATTTTTTTCTTTTCTTGTAAAATTAGTATTTCTGGAAGGCAGTGCAGGTTGGCACTACCGCAAAACAAATGCTACTGTAGCAGACGACACAACGAGGACAACAAATTAATTTCAACATGGCAGCCCTGTTGCTGTGTTGCTTGTCTGTTCACTAAAATGTTTTCTTTATTATATCTGTGTTGACGATTTAAAGTGGTGCTGCTGTGTTTTGGCGTTTTCTCCAGTGGAGACGGCGAAACGGAGAGTGCTAGATAATGCACGGAACTTTCTCACCTCGAGTTCATTAACCGAGTTCTGTCCATGGAATTTCCAACAATGCACAAGTGCAGCAAGGTTAGCTGGGGATTGGAATAAGTCAAAGGAGTGAGTAAGAACTTGTGTCATCATTGATGTCGCTTTGTTTAGGCCTCTTATTAAATACATTATCTTTAACTACATGGACACTGAAAGAGACCCTTTAGGATCTGACTCACTGGACCAATGTCTTTTTAAACGATGACAAAAAGAGTAAATAGTTGGGCAACGCTTTGCTGACGCAAACCAAATTCACATCATATAACCTTACATTAATATTTTCATAACTGAAAGTGATGGCTCCCTGCATTATTTTCAACTTGAGTAATTGAAAGACTGTAGTTAGTGATGTGTTTACCGGAGTGATCTTGACTGGGATATATTTCCCAGTATCAAATAGAGAGGGGCTGCAATTATTGCCATATTTTGGCGAGACATTTGTTTCTCGCCAAGAAATGGTGAGACTTTTGTTTCTCGCCAAAAAATGGCGAGACTTTTGTTTCTCGTCAAAAAATGGCGAGACTTTTTTTCTTTCCCCTAGGATGGAATGAATGCTGACCTTTGACTTTTCAGTGAGGAGTCTTAAGAGAGTGCTCGAGCACAACATACTCCAATTTGAGCCGTTAATGTTCTTGCCCAAAACGCGAAACAAATATGATATTACAGCCTCAACATTTTTTTCGACGAAAATGGTCAACCACCTCCGACTCGTGTGAAATTCATTTCGAACCTTGCTATGGATTTAAGGAACAGATGACTGGTACCCAATGTACTGTTTTGACGCATGTTAATGGCTTTTTTAAAAAAAAACGCGCAACTCTTTTTACTGCACCAAATGTTAGCAGTTACTCAAAATGAAATTTTAAAGCCAGTACAGAACAAGGCGCCAGTTCACAAAATGTGCCTAAACTATGAATATTATGATTTTTGGACTTTTTTGAACCCGTTCGATGCTTTGTTCTGAAAATGCGTAACTTGTTTCCCACTAAATGTTAGCAGATACTCCAAATGAAATTTTAAACCTGGTTTCGATGGCCAATTCATTCAAGCCCAAGTGCTTCCAATTTTTATTGTTGAAAATAATTTTTAGGGCCTTTATGGTCTTTAAGGTCTTTAAGTTGTGCCGGGTGTTGTAAGGGAGCCCACCAGTAGTACAACACTTCATTCAAGCTACTTTAAGTTTAAAATTTTTCAATTTTACCACATTCCTTCCGGCTTTGTTTTGCAAAGGTCGTGGGCAATATGTGTTTCTTATTATGGCTTTAGAGGAATTGGCTTTTGAAAGAAAAACAAAATGAAGACCTGTCCTTGATCGTTATCGTTTATTGAACGTGGCAAATGCGCATGTTGCTAGGGCGAAGAGCAGAATCCCAGATGGGCTCACGGTGCTGGAGTGAGATTTCCCAGGAGGCTGCACGTAGGGCACGCGACCGCTTTCCATCATCTCGCGGAAGAATGTCGAGGAATACTTCAACGTCCGGTTGAGGGAGCCCGAGTCGTAATCGACGTGGACGAGTCCAAAGTTTCGACTGCACCGAAAACATACATACGAGTCAACGTAGTGCACTTACCCTGGTGAAACTGAAGCGCAGTTTTAGGCCTTTCTTCACAGGTTGGGTTACCATAATAATTCTTTATTGTTTTTAGAACAATAGTTTGGAAAAAAATCGGGAAGTTCTTCGCAATACTTTGGAACATTCACACACGTAGAAGTGAAATAATTATGTCAGGACCGTAGTACAATGTGTTCGGGTCCAAACGCACTGAAATAGTTCAGCTTTGAGTTGCAATCCTCACCTGAATCCTGCAGTGAATTCGAAAATGTCCAGAAGAGCCCACGCATAGTACGCAAACACTTGTACGTCGTACTGCTTCATGGTCGCCATGAGTGACCGAAGATTCGTCTGGAATAAGTTTCAAGACAATAAACAACACGAGAAGCATTCACTGTTATGCAACGAATGTGACATCACATTCGTTTGAACGTGACACGGCCATCATGCGGCCTTCTGATGCAGGTGTCACATTCGTTTAAGCGGGTCCATGGCATGACGTCCCCATTTTTTTCGTCCCGCAGACAATTCTTCCCCACCTAAATCGTCCCCAGCAAAATCATTTAGTCCCGAGTGTATTTGTCCTCATTTCTTCGGCGCTACCCCGTGCCGACAAATTTGTGGCGATACTCGGTGCACCCAGGCCGACAATGGAAACCACTACCGCAGCAACCCGGTGGGTGCGGGACACGGGCCAAAATGGAAGGCCAACTTTTAGATTCGGAGAAAGAAGTTAAAATTCTAAGTGTAAACGGCTATCTATAGAATAGGCACACAGAAAACCATGACGGGTCCAGGACATACTGGATGTGCAGGCGACGTCCTGTATGTAAACGCCGAGCCATAACGACCAACGACCACTCTCATTCCAGGAACGTGACATCACGTTGAAACGAACGTGACAAAATGTCACATTCGTTTGAGCATTGTGTCACATTCGTTTGGGTGTGAATTGGCCAAAAATCAGGTAGTTCACATTTAAACGAACGTGACACAATGCTCAAACGAACGCGATGTTGTCACGTTCGTTTCAACGTGGTGTCACGTTCCTGGAATGAGAGTGACGTCCCCTCAAAGTAAGCTCTCTGATAGCCTCCGTGCGTTTCCCGTGAGCTGCCACGGCCTCCTAGATCACGACAAAAAATTCACGGTAGTCTTCTGAACAACCGCTAGAGAGCAACACGACAAAAACCGAAAAAAGTGCGCTTTGTCTCGATTTTCCTTCATGTCTCATATTACCCCGTTCTACGGTATTTTAATTTTTCTGTACTTACATCGATCTTTTTAATTACATATAAGGTACCGAAGGAAGCTCTGCCGCATCTTCCTGAAAGACATACGATGAAGAGGACGTTCAACAGAAGGAGGCAAGGAAAGTTCCCTGACAACCCCAAGAGCCTTGAAGATCTCGGCGAAATTCCTCCAGAATTTGCAACTACGTTGAGAGGGAAGCCGTTCTTGCTGTACGACTCCTACGACGACGAGGAGGAGGAGGACAGCGATGATGGGCAAGAGAACCGACGGCAGAAGCGAATATTACTTTTTACATCAAAGGTTGATCTGAAAAAGCTCTCAAGGTCAGAAATACTGCAGATGGACGGAACTTTCGACTCAGCCCCCGGTAAATGTGAAGAGCGCGGATGCGTCGTCCTAGTCCCCGTTTAGTCATCCTGGATTTTGAAAAGGGACTTATCAATGCCTGCAGGCTGGCTTTTCCAAACGCAGAAGAAAGATTGTGGCTGTTCCACCTGCGCCAATCATCGCTCAGGAAAATCCAGGAGCTGGGCCTGCAGGTTGCTTACCGAGACGAGGAAAACACCGAGGTGAGGGACTCCTTCGGGCAAATAGTCGGCTGTGCGTTTGTGCCGACGGAGGACGTCGTGGCCAGTTTCCAAGAAGCGAAGGCGAACACCCCTAACGCCATGAAGCCATTTGCTCAGTACTTCCAAGAGACGTATGTGTCGGGAAAGCGGGCTCAGGGTGGTCGGAGGGCAGTGCCACCTCGCTATCCTCCTCACCATTGGAACCAACATGAGGCGGCCCTGCGGAACGAACCTCAAACCAACAATACGCTGGAAGCGTGGCACCTCAGATTCTAGGTTGGTATGACTGCAGGGGGTAAAAGCAGAGGATATGGTGAACATATAAACCTAACTAGATTTGTTTTTGTTTTAGGCTATAGTGGGGAAAAGTCATCCTGCGGTGTACAGTCTGATCCAAGAGTTCAAGGAGCAGGCCGATACAGCAGTCATGATCGCCGAGCTCGGACTGGGGAAAAGAACGTAAAGCAGCCGAGCGCCGGAAATACAGAAGGATCAACGGGAGGCTGAAGAACCTGGCCGAAGACTACGAGAGGTTTAAGGCTGAAGGGCGTAGACTTGACTACCTGCAAGCTTGTGGCCACACAGTTGGTTTGTAATTGATGTCGAATAAAACACTACAAAGGAGAGGACATATTTATTTGGGGACACTCAAATTGGGGACAAATTAACAGGGGACGAAAAATGTGGGGACGAATTGCCTTGAGGACAATTTTCATGGGGACATTCAAGCCTGTTCCCGTTTAAGCATGGATCAACATTCAAACGAATGTGACATCACATTCAAACGAACGTGACAAAATTCACATTCTAACCAAGGGGAAACTACTCCGAAAAAATGTGTACACCTAATGCAAAATTCAAAAAAATTCAACAAAATTCAAAAAATTCAGTAAAATTCATAAAATTAAAAAATTCACCAAAATTCATTGAAATTCGTCGAAATTCTTCAAAATTCACTGAAATTCATAAAATTCATTGCAGTGCAAAAATTGAAAAAGTGTACAAAATTCATCAAAATGTGTCAAAGTTCACTGAAATTCATTAAAACTCACTAAAATTCAATGAATTTCAATGAATTTTCGTTAATTTACGATGGGATGCATGATTTAAACCTGCGTACGAAAACGTGAGGGGAGCCCTCGCGGAGACCGTGTGGTTGTGAGGAGAAAGGGGGGGAGGGGAGGAGGTCTCTCTTGATTGCTAACGCTGCAGCCCGCGAGTGCCACATAGCAGATGAAAACTGAGCATGGCTACCGGTGTGTTGGCGCTACTACTCTGACTCTTACCAAAGCACAGGTGTTCTAGTCCTAAATTTTACAATTTTTAAAACTACGCAAGCGTCTTTCACGCCTCTACACGGTCCAAAATTTTGTTTGAGTTGGAACTTGTGGGTCAATTTTGAAGGCGCGGCGGCCGAAGGAGGCTCGGTGTCAATGAATGGCGTCCCGTGGTGCAGGCGGGCCGCCGCCTCCGCCCCCTCCCCCCTCCCCGGCCGGGCTCCTCGACCTTGCCTAATTGCGGGGACATCTGTTAACAGTGTCATTTCTTTGGGGGATGGTCCTCTGTCCTCGCCGTTCTTCACAGAAAACCTTCTCGATCCTTGTGGAATGTGTTTCGGACGGCCCCCGGCCGCTCAGAGAGCGCACGTGAGTGCGTGTTAGCAACGCGACGGAAACACGCCAATACATTCACACCAAAGGATGAACAAACGAATGTTATTCTTGATCGCATTTGACACCCTCTCCAAGTCTCACGCAGGAAAGACGGACAGACGTGGGCGGTGGGGCGCCGAGTATGGCAGCGCCTGCATTCACGCGTCCGAACGGGTCGGATGAAACAGAGGGATCTGACACATTCGTTGGACCAACCCACTACTGCGCGATGAAGGCACAGACTCCCGAGGACGTTGCAGCCCACTTCTTGGATGCTTCCGAGATGCCCTCGGTGATCAAAGGCTCAAAAATTCATTGAAATTCACCAAAATTCATTAAAAAACAGAGAAATTCATAGAAATTCATTGAAATTCATTGAAATTCATGAAATTCAAAAACTGCAGCCAAGTTCAAAAAATTCATCAAAATTCAAAAAAAATCTTGAAAATTCGCAAAAATTCATTGAAATTTGTCAAAATTCAAAAAATTCAACAAAAATTCAAATATTTCAAAAAAATTCATGAAATTCACGGCCATGTACACCAAAATTCAAAGTAATTTCCCCTTGATTCTAACGAATGTGACGTCACATTCGTTGAATAACAGTGTGATGATTCTCGAACAGTAAAAGAGGCAGAAGCGCCCAACCGCAGTTTTCAGCATATCCAAAGTATTGTTTACAAAACCGTGTAACAGGGGGTAAAGCAGCCTTGTGCGTGCGTGAAGCTATGCTCGCTGCTCGGCTGAGTAAACGACGTCATTTTTAGATTTTACGCAAAATTTCCTATTCGTAGGAGACAATGGGATGGGCTTTCGCAGTCGTAAAACAGTTTTCAACTCAAAATATAATCAAAATTTACGGTACCACACATACAGCGACCCGATTGTTTGCCACTATTCCCCGAGTGGCGGGCGTGTTGCATTTTGAATGTCGAGGCCAGTCAGTTCTGCAGCTTTATTGTAAGGCCTTGACCTAATTAGTCTCGTAACCCATCTCAGCCCGACTTTTAATGTTGACATTTTCAGAAAAATCCTTCGTTAAAAGTGGGGTGGTAAACTTACGCTGTGGAAAGCTGCTCGCACAGTATCCTTGACCCACAAGGACTTGACGTCGGCAAAGCCGTTCTCAGTGACTGCGATCGGCAGATGGTACGCGTTCCATGTCCACATCAGCGCATCGTGCATTACGAACTCGTCAGCTCCTGTCTGTGTAAAAAAATCTCATTCAACGAACGTTAATGAAAGCAGATGATACTCGTTTGGTTTTCTTGTACGGTGTAGTATGGGTTCATTCCAAAGATAGTATTTAAAAGCTGAGTCCTTTGTGCGCTGTAGCGGGGAGGGATTGTGAATGTTGCGCCCAGGCCGTCGCGCGCGAGGAGGGGGTGCCATTGTCGAATTCCGCGCAGGCTGCGGCTCGACCACAGACTCACCAGCCCGCCCCGGCAACCAGCCCCTATTATATTGTTAGGATACAACTTGGTTTTTGGACTCTCGAGTAAAAGCTAGCTGACACCTTTATGTGTCTTTTAGTTGTAGTTTTAGGTAGGTTTTTAAGTAAAGGTATCATCTGCTAAAAAGACGCAATTCCGGTCAGGGGCAGGCATTCAGTGAGCGCAAACGGGAATCTACACGAAAAGAAGAAAAAAAGAAATCTGCGGACGTATCTTAGGTCAATTCTCGAAAAGTTTTGCGAAATTTACGATGGATGATCGTGGATTCACTAAAGATCTATCGTTTAACCAGTATCATTTCCGTAAATTTCCGAAGGTTCCTTCTGCGAAGTTTCATCCAAAGGTGCCCTCCTCAATTTCGGAGATTAATTTTAACATGGTAAGTTCAGAAGTACCCTACAAACAGGTTTATCACCAAGAATCCATACGCTATATATAGATATAGCGTCAATTGGTGCGACGCTTTTGCATTGCACATGAAGTGCAATGCCTTCCCTTTCCCGCATTAGCATGGAGCTTTTACGGGACGCATTGCACGTAAGGTGCAATATAGCTTTGGTATTGCGCGTATTGGTGCGATATACTCTGAAAATCTAGCGGCGTGACTTCGTGCTGCTGCAGGGGCGTGAATTAAGTGTCATGCCATAAAACGACAAGACAGAAGAGTCATGCCTAAATTCGGCGTGACTCAGAAATTCACGCCATTTTTTTTTGGCGTGAATCTCCTGTCATGCCGGTTTTTGGCATGACTTTTCTCATTCAACGCATTGAACGCACCAATCCACATGGTCAATTCACGCCAGATAACGGCGTGACGCACACGTCACGCCGTTGTTAGGCGTGAATTTCCTGTCACGCCATTTTTTGGAGTGACTTTTTGTCACGCCATAATTTGGCCATGTGTCCGACTATTCATTTTCTAGTGGTCTCAGTGCATTGGACTATAAGACGTGCTATATTCAGAGCGTTTGGAATCCCAGTGAATATTTTGACCCAGTACGGTTTAATAAAAGTTAAGCAATTTAAATGCTTCAGTACGTGAAAAATGCCTTGACTTGTTTGAAATACAGAAAGCTGGGCTTGCACTGCTAATCCAAGTGTGGACCAAGTCCACGCTAGGTAGCCTGGACCACGAATGGTCCACGCTGGGAAGCGTGGACCACGGATGGTCCACACTTGGAAGTGTGATTGGCCTATGAGGAGTACAACGCTCTGAAGCGTGGACCACAGCTTGGTCCACGCTACCTAGCGTGGACCTGGTCCACACTTGGATTAGCAGTGTGCAGTGATTTTTCCTGAACTTTTTTCACCTCGTCGTATTCGTCACCAGCGGCCATCCTCACAAACGGGAGGTCGTCCTCAATGGCGCGCAGCAGCCTGGGCATTCGGTCCCCGCCCGTCGTGCCGTGGTCGTACGCTACAGTGTAGCTGTTATACACGTTCAAAGCGATGAAGTCGGTCGCACCGCCTGAAAAATAGGCATGTCTAAGGCTCAATATTATACCGGGCACAGGCCGGTCCGTGTACACCACAAACCCTCCAATTAGCTTACACGGCCAAGTACGCACTCTCCCAAGTGCAAACTTAGAAAGTGCACACTAAAAGGGGGTCAGATTTGGCTTGGCCCCGCAACTCCATGCTATGTACATGCAATTGCAAGTGTAGACAGGTAGGCATTTTTGTTTCCTTGGAAAAGGATTGTGGTGCAAGAGCAATGAACAGAAGCAAAAACTGCCCTTTTCGCAAAATGAAAACAGTGCACGCTGTTCTTGAACGCGGGTTTTGCTGTTCTATTTCGTTTGAATGTAGATGTACGTTCAAAAGAATAACATTCTAATTACGTTCAAGCGAATGTGACATCGTATTCAAAGGAACGTCACAAAATGCACACGTTTTCTTGAATATGACGTCACATTCGTAAGAATGTGAATTTTGTCACATTCGTTTCAATACGATGTCACATTCGTTTGAACGTGGATCAACATTCAAACGAATGGGACATCAAATTCCAACGAACGTGACAAAATTCCCACTGTAACGAATGTGACGTCACATTCGTTGAACAAACAATGTGTGAGTGACCTGTTCGCTCACCTTGTAGAAGCTGCTTCTCCGTCTCATTGAAGAACGGCAGTCTGGACTCGGTGAGGCCGCGCTCTGCGTTCCGCATGTCCACAAGGAACCGCGTCGCCTCTGAGTAGTCTCCGTAGACCAGGGGGTGCACCACCGTGCCTGAGAAGAGCTGCATGAATGCATCTGACGCCAAGACGTCCTCGGACCGCGTCGACGCAGGCACTGCAGGCCACACCAGGACCGACGAACCCACCCGGCCTGCGAGCAAAAAATGAAAATGACGCGATGTTTCGGCACACCTGAACCTGACGGGGTAGACACTATCTAGCCCAGTGACCCAACTACACTCTCAGACTCGTCTTGACTTTTTACCTCTTGCCGAAAAAAATTGTCTTTGGCTTTGTACGTTTTTGTTTAATTTTATTCATTTTATAAATATTTTATTTATTTTATCTCCTGATGGTTCATACATTTCAATAAAAATATCAATCATTGTCCGCAACGCATACCTTTCTGAGAGTCGTAGTACGTCTCCTTGTAGAGGCGGTATGCTCTTGCGTGCGCCAGGTTCATGTGGTGCATGCATCGGTAGGTGACATCCTCATCCGCTGGTGCGAGACCCAGAGTTGCCAACACGGTGGGGAAATACACGCAATAGTTGTTTGGCTCGTTCATAGTGACCCAGTACTTGACCTGCAGAGCCATCACAAATTATTCAGTTATAGTTGTACGCAGCTCACATCGTTTTTTCTTTCTGAGCTGGCAGCCGATGAATGAAGAGTTATCACTGATTCCAGCGATTCCAGGGATGTGGTGTCACATTCATAATTCATGCTCAAGAACACAAGAAACTATTATGGACTTTTCATGCGAATGCATGCAACAATGCGTACGTTAGCTGAACATGATATTGAGCATCACTGTGTACATAGGTGAAAGATGCACTAATGCACACAACGATACATTTCATAATACGCAGCTTACAGCTTACGTACATATTGCACACTAAATTCTTATGGACTTTTTTATGCATAGTTATGCATGCACAGATACGTCCATATGTTACGTATAATATTATGCATCACTGTGTACATTTTATGCAGGAAGATGCATAAAATGTACACAGTGATGCATAATTTCATACATACCTTATGGACGTTTCTGCGCATGCATAACCATGCATAAAAAATGCGTCCTTATGCATTTAAAAAGTCCATAAGAATTTAGTGTGTGGTGCTTGCATAAATTATGCATTAAAAATGCACAATTAGGCATAATAAAATTCCACAAGACGTTGGGTGTCCCAGGATAGTTTCAAAATGCCTTTTAAGAAGAGTGCCAGGGATGGATCTGTAGATGACACAATATGAAGAAGATTTGTGCAAATCGATTGAGTTTTGGACTGAGCTTGTAAACGGATAGTTTGGCTCGCCGAGTCTAAATGTGCCACTATTATTAAGATCACACTAAAATTCCAAACGCTATAAGTATAGCACGTGTGGTGCAATGCGATACAGTCAGACGCCTCTATTTAGCCGCTCTCACTGTTGGCTATTTGGGAAAAAGTTATCCCCACCACTCTGGCTCGAGGCGAGCCCGGGCGGCCGGGTCCGGGACTCCCGGCCGGCCGGCTGACCCTCGCACGGCGCCGTACTAATCCCCCGGCCAGGCTCATTTTTGAAAATGCAATTTGCGTTCAAATTTTCGGCAAACTGTTTAGTGGAGCGTGTTCCTGGCGTCAAAATAGGCAGGGTCGATGTAAATTTCATGCCAAAATTCGAATTTTTGACCAAGTTACTGCAGCCAGCCACGCCCGTCAGGAACCCGGCACCGCGTCCAAATAGCGATTTGAGGCACTTGTAAATGTCAGATCGAGTTGAAATTTTGAAAGTCTATTGTTCAAAGCATAAGGATCTCCCGGAGTTAAACAAAAGTGTGGGTTGGGTCGGTCAAAAGCGTTCAAACTTGAACATTTTCTTGTTCAAACAAGGATGTACCGTAACTTGGTCAAAAATTCAAATTTTGACATGAAATTTTCGTTGATTCTGCCTATTTTGATGCCAGGAACACGCTCCGCTATACAGTTTGCCAAAAATTTGAACGCAAATTGCATTTTCAAAAATGAGCCTGGCCGGGGGATTACGGCGCCGTAATCCCTACCTGCGACGGTCAGCCGGCCAGCCGGCGGGTCCCAGACCCGGCCGCCGGGACCAGCCCCCTGACTGTTTGCTATTTAGGAAACGCGCTTCCCGGTCGGCGGCGAAATAGAGGCGTTTGACTGTAGCCTTATTGCACTCTACGTGCAATGCGTCCCGAAAAGGCCCTATGCTAATGCATGGGAATGGGGTGGCATTGCACTTTATGTGCAATGCATTGCACCAATTGGCGCTATACTCATAGCGTTTGGGTTCTCAGTGCAGAGGACCACAAGTGGGTCAGATGATACCCTCAACTTTGAAATTAGCAGATTCTGCAAAATAGTGAGCTTGAGAAAAGTTGACTTTCAGTTCTTCAACAAATTATCTCTTTTCATAGAATCGGATGAAAATTGGCCGACCTACGGCCGTTTTTGAAACCCGGTCAACCGCGATACACCAGCACGTCTAGTGGCGCAAAATTCAATCGCTTGCAAGCCTTGTGTCATCTTGCAGACTCACCCCAGCACTCTCCAAAAAAGGGCAATTGAAATTATCTCATGAGACACTCTCCATTTACAACCTTTCATTCGTACCACATACCCATCCATCACCCTCAACTCGACTTCACCTTTTGACCAAACGTCTTGAATAGAAAGCCAGCGTACTCCACGAACTTGTCCACCATTGCCGGGCTGCCCCAACCATTCAGTTCCTTTTCTAGGCTGAAAGGGTGATCGAAGTGGTACATGGTAACCTGGCCGTGAGATTAGAAGGGATTTAATCTCACACATCAAGAGACAAATAAAAGGTCAGCACCAAATAGTCATTTATCCTACCATGGGCTCCATACCATTGCGCAGGACAGCGTCAATATACCTCCGATAGAAATTCACGCCCTCCTCGTTCGGTTTGCTTGCATCTCCAGACGGCAGAACTCGCGACCATGAGATGGAGAAGCGGAAGGAATTGAGCTGCAAAGGCGAACATATTTAGCTTGTGGGGAGACGCCTAAACTGAAACCTCAAAGACTACCGGACTAAGGGAGAGTGGGGTAATTCCGGACACGGGGTAATTCCGGACACTTCGATTTTCACTGGGTTTGAGTGAAGATAACTCAAAAGCCCGCCTAACAGAGGAAGATAATCAGTCTAAAAGGAGAATTCCAAATCGCCAAAGTAGGAGGTCAAACCGTTTGCCTGTGGTCGCTTCACGAAATTTGAGTACCATCAAAAATAGGCCAAAGCTGCATCTTTCCCTCGTATTTCCATGTACTTATCGTACCTTACCGTCAAGTTCAGTCCCATGACTAAAATTTTATCATATTATATGGTCATTGGACTTTACTTTGGCGTTTCGGGAGTGCTCGTATGGCTCGCCGTTTTCTTACAGTTGAACATCAAAGGTTTTCACTACCTGTGGGGTAAATCCGGACAATTAGGGTTATTTTCTTCAATTTCCCGCATAATGTTAAGGTAGTGGGTTCAAAATTGTGGACATGCATCCCCACCGTTAAGAAGGATAAAGAAAGAACGAAAAATAGCATTGCAGCTATGTTTAAGAGCTTTACTTGAGACAGTGTTGTCAATTTAGGGGTTTTGATAGAAATTATTCCTTATAATATGCTTTGAGTAATAATCAAACACTTCAGTTCGCAGCAAATGTCCTTAAACGCCTTCTAAAAGCATGCCTGACATCAAAACAAGCGAAAGTAAGCTCGAGTAGTGTCAAATTTTAAGGTCGTCCGGCATTGCCCCATAGGTCGTCCGGAATTACCCCAGCCTGGGGCAATTCCGGACACGTGCAGGGCTTTTGTTAGGCGCCTATATCTCCCTAACCGTTGCTGAGATTTGGCTTTCATGTATACCATTTTGAAGGTAAAGGTCCATACTTTACTCTCCTGTCATAACATTTAACCCAAGAAGCATATTCAAGCTCAAAGACCAAAAAGAAAAAAAGCGTCCGGAATTACCCCACTCTCCCTTACACTCACAATGTCTCTGAACAACTTGGTTACCATCTGGATACAAATTTGTGCATTCCCAAATCTGGTGACAAAATAAATGCAATCAAACAAATTCATCACTGCAGAGAGGAGCGTATCCAGGGGTCATGACCCCCTTCGCCCTCCTCAGAACGCGGCTAAGATGATGCACAAAATAGTTTCAAGTTGGTAACAGAAATTGTCCACAGACCTGTAGCTATCGGACATAACAGCGTATCTACCATAGGTTTCCCTATGGACATACGTTGTTATGTCAGATGACCGCCCAGACATTCAGCGATATCAGTTTTGAATTGAACTGGACATGCACAAAAGCAAACATCATCAGAGATTGAAAAAAGGCAAGATAGGCCCTGGCCTCTATCATTCCCAAGGCGTGAAAAAAAAAAGAGCGAAGTCTTGAGTGAAGGTTGGCAGCCCACACAAATCCAATCTGCCCATACTGTGCGCTTCCTTTTGGCATGGGTACTCACTTTCATTTGCCCAGCAAGTGCCAGGTCTTCTACGTATCTGTGGTAGTGGTCTGCTGAAACGTCTGAGTTGTTGGGGAACATTTGATTGTCCTTCACGTGTACAACGCTGTCCAAGACACTCTCGGCTTTTCCTAGAGAATCATCAACACTGTTTTAGCTCTACACTGCAGCTAATTGTTTGTTTAAGGAAAAATATTATCAACCTCGTCTTGATAAATCTAAGGGGACAACCACTCCATTTTATTTCGTACACAGGATTCTTCAAAGGAAGGGACTTCACGAGACTTCGCATGATTAAGCGTCAAAGATATGGAAGATCTCGCGAAATTTTGCTGAGATTTCACCAGATTTAGACGAGATTCCGCGAGATTTCACCTGATTTCGTAGGGATTTCAACAGATTTCTAACGATTTCGCGAAAGATCTCGACCATTTAAGTGTTCAAAGGATTTTGCAAGATGTTGCCCCCTCTGATAAATCTATTAAGCGTCTATATGCACAGAAGAACGTGTGTCAAGCACAGAAGAACGTGATCAAGTTGCCAGTCTGCGACTGTTTTCTTCTTTTGTGACTCACGCTGCCATAAAAGCAAGTGGTCTCACAACAAATAAGTGGAGCTTTATCGTTCAGTGGGTGACTTGGTCACTTTTCGAGAGTTTAATACGGTCCCAACGCTTTTTTGTTCTTTCATAAAGGTAATACTTTACAGCTTATCTTTAGCCTGCTGACGTTGAGTGGTGACTCGTCACACGGAGTGTCGTGTGTCCCACTCGAGGCTACCCCAAAGTGCGTGCACAAGTGAAGAGATGCTTTGTCATTTCAAAAAACATCGGACTCGAGTGGACAACTACAGGAGCTACACAGTGAAAAAAAGTACTTCTGTACGGAAATTGTACTGAGCAGTAAAGTACGGAAGTACGAGAAGAAGTAAGGAACGTCCGTGTTAATTCATGTAAACGGGCGCAGAATAAAAGTACCGAAGTTCCGCAGCTGACGGGTAGTATAGACGGTCCGGGCAAATTGTTCAGCAGATTTGTGCCATCACTGCCTCCACCAGCTTTTGCTGCTTCACTGTTATTCCTGCTGTTGAACTCATTTCAAATGCAACAAATTTTATATTGCATTTGGCGCTACGAAAATTTTTGGCACTGCAAGTGCAATAAATAATATATTACGTCTATTATCACTATCACGCCAAAATACGTGGGACAAAACGTGAGGAACTTATTGCATCTTTTACTCACTGATTTTTTGATTGCTGACACAGATGCGATAATTTGAATTTTTATCGCTGCTTGAAACTTAGCACATTAGAAATACATATCAGCGCTATCCTCGTTCCTCTCGTACTCACCCTCTTCGTTCCATGCTCCTTCGGCCTGGCATGCAGACAGTCCAGCACCAACGAGAAAATTGACAGGGAGTTGTTCACTGCCATCTCGGTCAATGCCTTTGGTGTTATCTGGGCTGTTTCTGGCAACGGCACTCCTTGACTGCAACGGGACCGACATAAAGAACCGGGTAAGTTCTCCTACAGACTTAATTTGCACGATATTAGTAAACTGCCGCGTTGAATGGGAGTCATTCACGTGCAAGGCGATAAGACACAGAACGGAGAAAGAGCCGGAACAAATTGAACAAAGAGTGTAAGAAATTTGAGAGATTGCACTCTCATTGCACTCTCATCTGAGTTTTTGTTAAGACGTTTGTGCACTGCAAAGCTGGTGGTAATTTTGCTTGCCATAAAATTGGCAAGCTGGTTTGAATGCCAAAAATTGGCAACCTTGGCCCGAAAGTCCCCCCCACGCTTGCCAAAATTTGGCAAGCTTATGAAGATTTCCGACCAAAACTTGCCAAATTTTGGCATTCAGAACGGCTTGCCAAACTTGTGGCGAGCAAACCTACCACTGGCTTTGCAGTGTGCACATTAATAAGCGTATTCACATACGAAACCCTCTTAAAGAAATTAAGTCGTAAAGTCTTCTACTAGCCAGGGGAAGGCCTTCGGCCTCGCTGCTGAGCTGTATGGAGCTGCAGATGAAATTGCATGTTCATCAGCAGTTGGTCAGTAATAAATTGTCAGGTCATTTTAAAAAATGAGGTGGAAATGTTTATTAGTGGAATTGTTTATTTTTTGTTCGTGAAATTTATTGGGGTATAACTGAGGGAAATATTGACTGAAGCATATGGAGCCAACCTAACCTACCTAACTCAACCTAACCTAGCCCCACCTAACCGAGGAGGATAGAGTCTAACCCGACCTAACCTAACCCAACTTAACCTAACCTACCCCAACCTAACCTACCCCAACCCAACCTACCCCAACCTAACCTACCCCTATCTAACCTACCCCAACCTAACCTACCCCTACCTAACCTACCTCAACCTAACCGAACCTAACCGAGGAGGATGTCTAACCCAACCTATCCTAACCAACCCGAACCTAACCTACCCAAGGGAAAGAATCCCTATGATTTTAAAGGGACGGTCCCTTTCCGAAGGGGCCAAGCCCTATCCGAGAATGGGTTTGGCCCCTTGGAAGGGGCTCAGCCCTATCTGCCATAGGGCCGGGCCCTATCAAGTTAGGGACCGGCCCTATGGACTTGGGGACCGGCCCTTTGAGCTTAGGGATCGGCCCTATGGACTTGGGGACCGGCCCTTTGAGCTTAGGGATCGGCCCTTTGGACTTGGGGATCAGCCCTATGGACTTGGGGATCCACCCTCCAGACCACAAGGCCCTATAAATCAGCCTGCCAGTTAGGCAAAATGTGGGTGATTTAGGTAGGCAAACCCGCTACACACCTATTAAGGGTATCTTGTAAACGGCTTTAGATAAAGTGTCGGCGACACTGCCATTGTTATCAGCGTCAAAAGTTTACTCTGGAAGCGTTTCTTATATTGTACATTGATGTTCAAGAGGCAGATGTTTTGAACACTTGAACACTCCGCGGCACGTCCCTTACCAAAGGGATATTTCGCGGCCCTTTGACAAAGGGGACTGTCCCTATCCATAGGGGCTGGCCCTTCCATGGGGACCGTCCCTATCCCAAGGGGCCGCGAAATATCCCTTTGGTTAGGGACGTTAGGGATTTTTAGGGGTTCCCAAGAACCCCTATTGTCCGAGGTCCGTGGATTCTTCCCCCCCCCCCTCTCCGATTTTCAAATAAACAACTCTAAACTATTTCAACCATGAAAAAAACGAAAATTCCAATTTTTTTCGAAAATTCATCGTGGAAATTTTCCATAAACGCAAAAAACATAAATTTGCAACAATCGAAAACGAGAACCGTTAATGATATGAAAAAATGGTTCAAATAAAAAATGTGCCACTCCTCAAAACTAAACCTCCTGGCTCATCAAAGTAACAAGAAATCATATATGTTCTGAGCAAATGGTCAAAACATGAAAAAAAATCTCCATGGCAACGGCATGGTCCCATCGTACCACCCGTCAAAATTTAAAGTCGCCCATTTAAAACTAGGGGTACGCGCCGTTTAGTCTGGGCGCGTAGTGTGGCTGAGCGATGCGAATTGGCATAGTTTTTGCACTTTGGACTTTGCTTGAGTAGACGAAATGTGCAATGATGGGCTCATATTGAGTGAACTTTAGACCAGGAGCACAAATGGAAGTGATTTTCGTTATCAGAACACCAAAAACTGCTGGGATCAAAGTCAAACTCAATATAAAAATTTTGGTCCAAAATTGGTCAAAATTCGGTTAAATGTGAGTCTGGGAAAAGTTTGGAGGTCATTTTTGAGTTCAGCACACCAAAATCTGCAGGAAACCATATAAAACTCGACTTGAAAATTTTGGTCCAAAATGACCTAATTTGGGATGAAAATATAAGTCTGAAGTCGAAATGGGAGTGATTTTCGTTATCAGCACACCAAAAACTGCTGGGATCAACGTCAAACTCGATTTAAAAATTTTGCTCCAAAATTGGTCCAAATTCGGGTAAGTGTGAGTCTGAGAAAATTTTGAAGGTCATTTTTAAGTTCAGCACATCAAAAACTGCAGGAAACAGTATAAACCTTGACTTGAAATTTTTGGTCCAAAATGACCCAATATGGGATGAAATTATAGGTCTGGTGTTAGAAGTTTGGGTCAGGGGACAATTTAGATGTTAATATTGAGGTCAGCGCACTGAAAACTACTGCGAAACACACAAATCTCAACTTGGAAAGTTTGGCCCAAAATTGCGTAGCTCTAGATGAAAATGTAGGATTGGCATTGAAATAAATGTAGTTTTTGTGACTAGTACACTGAATACTACATACAATACTTTAGACTCAATTTCTTTCTGTATATTGTTCCTATTTGTCTTCATGAAGCACCCTCTGTCGTCACCAATTCCCTGATGCCACACCAATGCGAATCCCTCAGTCGAGTAACATTCAATTGCCAGCATTGAATCGCTTAATTGGCTACTTGTATGCTTGGGTCACTATTCGATATCTTTTTTTCCTAACTAATGAATTCACAATTTTATAAGTAATATTTAAGAAACATTTTGCCATTCTTTCATTGCGAACCAGTGAATAAAACAATATTGATTGGAACATGTTATCACAGTTAATATTAAGAGAGTCAGTTTAGGGTAGGCTGATCTGAACCAGTTAACGGGGACCAATTATTGTCAAATCCAGTGATTCGTCACATAGAGTCCAATGCCAAGGCTACCCAAAACTTAATGAACCGACATAATTTCTCTTACTCATGTAAACAATACTGAGTAGTACCAGTTATATTAACTTCGGTGAAGTTAAAAGAATCGTCTCATTAAATCGAATCACTTATTCACTCACCGCTCAAAACCTGAGTCGTCTCTTTGAACCCAATATCAATTCAAACTATATTCGGATTAAATATACACAACCATACATTGATTCTATTAATCAACACATGTTAGTTCTTTTGCACTCTTGTCAGCTTGCAGTTTTGAAATAGAATGTATTTCTCGAGTCCAAACTAAGTATGCCTGCTAATTTCAACACAAGTTATTTATGCATTTCCCTGATTTCCTCTAGTATGAAAATTTAAAAAAGAGGATGACACTATAGAAAATGAAATATGTAGATGCCCACAATACAAAAGGTGAAAATAAAAACATTCTTTTTACAATGCTCTGTCAAAGTGCACTGACCTGAAGAAGATTCCCCTCTAACGGGGGAGGGGGGCGAGGGGAACGAAAGACGTAAATCATTTTCACTTCCATTCTCCATATTTCGCTGTGTTGATACTCCAAAAGGGTTTTAATCATTCTAGAATGTTGAAAAACTATGGCCGATCTCATTTCCAAACCCTTCTGCTCGTTAATTTGTTTTATTTGCTTCTGTCCCGTATTTGAGAGCCGCTGCCGCAGGTATGAGAAATTGGTGAGTGCTTAGTGCTGCCAACCTAACCATGCTAATAACCTGATTCAAAAATATGTTTTCAATATTTCAAACGATCCTAAACAACGATTTGAAACAAACTCGTGTTGGGGGGTACTAAGGCGACGTTAAATACGAAATCTTGAAACTATAGCCACTGTAGTTGCTGAGAATCGTTGGTGAGTACAAACAGACTCACAGACAGACAGACAGACGCACGACCAGTCACTTTTCAGCGCGCCCAAACACGGCAAGGGCTTCGCTATCGCTCAGCCAAAAAATCTAAACGCCGTGAAATTCGAAAATGCTAATGCTAACACATTGCACGGTGTCTCAACGTTGGAACATCTTTAAAGTCTGTCACTACTAAAAAGTTCGTAGCAGAAACGACACATCAAATTAATTTTCGTGGGTTGGCACCAATATGCTTCCCGTCTGCGCCCTTTCGAAAATCGCGAGGCTGAAAGAACGAACAGGCGCCCATTGAAACTGCCCCTCCATTGTTGCTGAGGTTGGATTGTTTGGCATGCTCTCAAAGGCTGCGGTTGTCTTGTCATGTTTTCCTCGATTTTTAACCAGTTATGGAAACGGGAACACCGTGCAATGCGATTAGCATTGGAATTTTTTCCCTTGGGTAACCGAGGAGGATAGAATCTAACCCAACCTAACCTAAACTAACTTAATCTTAATGCCTGGTTCTTGAAAAATAAGCTTAGTCTAAATTTGAAGAAAACTAATTATGTATTGTTCACTAAAGCAGCTGTCACTGAAAAGAATCTAAGCATTCAAATTGGAACAAACATCATTGAAAAAGTTGATGAAGTTAAGTATCTCGGTGTTCACTTGGACAAACATCTGAGCTTTGAGAGCCATATTAATAAGATTATGCCTTCAATACGAGCAACAATCCGATTACTCTTCAGATTGAGGAACACTGTACCATTCGAACTGCTAAGAATTACCTATTACTCGTACTTTCGCTCAGATATGGCATATATGGCTTCAATTTGGGGAAATGCTAATCAGCTAATCCTCAATAAAATCAGAGTCCTTCAAAACAGTGCTCTTAAATCTGTCTTGAATGTCGGTTATTACTTTCATACTAAGAATTTATATATTGT